GTTCCGAGTGTGCGTGTGCATATTCAATGTAAATGCATTATCACCGAAAGTATGATATAATTCTAATATATCCTATTAAACTACAATATGATAATTCATAACACTTCAAAGATGATCTGACGGAATGGCATATGTTTTAATTTGGCAGGATAAGATACAAAGCATTATATTGCATACGGTACACTGTGATATAATAGTATACATTTTACAATAATATGATATAATTTGATACAAACGAACACTGTGACATAATGACCTAACAGAATACAATGTGATATGATGGAACTGACTAGAATAGGGTAGACAAATAAACCTCATGTAATACAACAAATACATGTATATACACGGACGTTGCACAGTACTATATCAAGTAAACCGGATAAGGCGAGATTATATAATGTGAAGACGCTATATTATGATCATACGACAGAAGTCAGTCAAGTAGTACGAACAGAATGTGCTACACATAAATGTAGAATAACAGAACAATATATTGTATACTAAAGTAATACGTAAAACTGTTATGATATACGATGAAGACATATAATACACACGATCTAAACAGATGAGGTATTATAGAGGTCTTATAAAATAGTAAACAAAGCCATACATATACTGTAGTATAGTATAACACGATGCAATACAATCTATACACGCATGCATATATTAAACAATTCCCAGTTGCAAGAGTTGGGGAGTATCACAGTGGCTGTCATATTTCCTGTCGCACTTCTGGCGCGAGGGGAAAGGAGGAGGACGAGGAGGAGAAGGGGGGAGGAGAAGGAGGATGGGGAGGACTAGGAGGAGGAGGAGACCACGATTGGTGAATGCGTCGTTGTTTCGGTAGTTTCGGGGATGCTTCGAGGGCGACCATATGTGCACACATACATATAGAATACTATATATGTATGTGTGTATACGTATTCTATATGTATATACATATGCACAAATCCATGTGATGATACATAATCATATTTATATGTATAGTATCTGGCCAGTGCTGCCCAGAGCGTGCTTAGTCAATCGGGCGAAGCGTGTGAAAAGAGGTGAAGGCCTAGACGAAACACTCACGGCGCAGTGTCCTAGAGGCAACGTCCCCCTCTCGTAGGCGCACACCTGAAAAAGGAGTGCGGCGGTCAGGCACGAGTTGGAAGGTCTTCAGGTCCCTCGTTCGATCCCGTGGAGCCCTCGCCCTCAATCCAGAGAATTCGTTACGGGACCTCGACTCAACAATTTTTACACATACAACACCCAAAACACAAAAAAAAATCCCAAGGGCGTCTTCCCGCACGGCTTGATCCGGCCCAAGAGGGCCCCAAGACGGGCCAAGAGGGTCCCGAGACGCCTCCCAGGCAGTCCATGAGGACATCGGTCCAAGTCGCGCAAGATGGCCTCCACTCGGCGGAAAAAGCGCCAAAGAGCCCTTCCCAAGAGGGCCCCGAGAGGCGAAGACAGTGATTGTCCATAGGCTGTCGAAGGATTTTGGCGTTATCGCCGTTTCTGCTTCCCGACGCTCCAAGACGGCTTCAGAGGCCCCCAAGATCGTCCCAAAACGGCCCAAGAGGCCTCCAAGAGGGCACCAAAACCGCCCCAGAGGGCCCCGACGGCCCAAGAGGCCTTCAAGACAGCCCCATAAGAGCCCAAGACGGCCCCAACGGAGGGCCCAGACGGGGGACGCCAGCGGATAGTTCGAGGCCTCGGCCCCGAGAGGCCCCCAGGAGGCCCCCAAAGCCCTAAAGGCCCCTAGGAAGCCTCAAGAGGCCCCACAGAGGCTCCCAAGAGGCGAGACCCCAAGAAGCATCCCTGAGGACAGTATCGCCCACAATCCAGGCATGGTGGCGGGATGTGCTGAAGACCATGCTGTGTATGCATATATTTTCATATTTATATATACACACATCTATATATATATATATATATATATATATATATATAGCTCGCCATAGACCCCCCCCGGCACCCCCCAATGGACGGACTGGGAGGGCATCCTCATCATCATTCTCTTCCTCCTCCTGCTCTTCTTCCTCCTCCTGCTATTCAGTCAGTCGCAGTTCAGAAGATTGCAGTTCAAGCGAATGCAGTCCAATGGATTGCAATCCAATCGATTGCAGTCAAATCCTCAAATCCTTTGCAACCCAGTCGATTGCAATCCAAACGATTGCATTCCAACCGATTGCAATCAAATCGATTGCAATCCAAGCGATCGCAGGCAAATCGATTGGAAGCCACTCGATTGAGAGCCAATCGATTGCAGTCTAATCGACATCACTACAACCGGTTGCAATCATATCGGTTACAATCGTTTGCAACGCAATGCAATGCAATCGCCTGCATTACAATCGATTGCTGCCCAACTCCAACTGATTGCAATCCAACTTGCTCTTCCTCCTGCTCTTTCTCCTCCTCCTCCTCCTCCGCCTCGCCATCGTCATCATCCTCGTCATCATCATCATCAGCAGCAGCATAGCTCTACCAAGCCTGCAAATACGAGGTCTCACGCGTGACGGCCTCCCATGCTCATCGAACAATCGCCACCCGAAATGCTAGGCTGGCACGGTGGCGGGACTTGCCGCAGGCAGCTCGGTGTTGACATCTATGTACATTCATGCATGCATACATACGTACATGCATATATACATACATACAGACAGACAGCCAGCCCGACAGCCAGCCAGCCAGACAGACAGACACACATACACACATGCACACAAACACCACACATACACACATACACACATGCACACATGCATACATTCACTCAGGCATACATACACACATACACACATACACACATGCACACATACATACATGCATGAATGCATACATACATACACACACCTTCCCGCGCAAACACACATGCACACACACATACATACATACATACATACATACATACATACATACATACGTACATACATACACCCGTCCATACATACATACATACATACATACATACATACATACATACATACATACATACATACAACCATACATACATACATACATACATACATACATACGTACGTACGTACGTACGTACGTACGTACGTACATACATACATACATACATACATACATACACACACCTACATACACACATGCATACCTACCTATCTACCTACCTACCTATCTACCTACAGACATGCATGCATGCATGCATGCATGCATGCATGCATGCATGCATGCATGCATACACACATAAATGCGTGCGTGCGTGCGTGCATACATACATACATAATACATACATGCATGCATACATACATACATGCATGCATGCATGCATACATGAATGCATGCAGACATGCAGACATGCATGCATGCATGCATGCATGCATGCATGCATACATACATACATACATACATACATACATATGCACATATGCACAGATCTAGATGTATACGACGCCGACGGCGGCGGCGCTGGCAACGGCGGGGCCTGCGGCCTCCGGCCGCACCGAGGCCGGGGGGGGGGGGGGGGGCAAAGGCTGGGGGGCAAGGGCAGGGGCCGTGCTGCTTGCTCAAGTTTGGCGGCGGTGCGCATAAAGGGGGTGGAGGGAGGGGGGGAGGGCTGCTTAGAAGGAGCCTGCTTCTTAGAAGGCGCGGGCCTTACATCTACAGATCAGGCCCGCGCCTGCTAAGAAGCAGGGGCTCTTCTAGGAAGCCCTCCCCCCTCCTCCCACCCCCCTCTGCGCGTGGCTGACAAGTTGCTCGGGAACTGAACTCGCAATCACGAGCGTCGGGCCGGTGCTCAGGCCGGGCTGCGCTTCAGACAAGAAGATGTCTTAGACAAAGACCGGCGCACTACGTTGGGGTGCGCGATGGCGAGGGCTACGGCACAGAAACATCGCGTCTGCATTATTTCGTACCGTCGTGCGAACCAGTTTCTCACCACAACGGGAGGGGGACCTGGCAGGCCGCGACGCGGACGGCAGCGGACGGCGTGATTCTGGCGTATCCTGCTGCGGGCACGTCCAAGAGGTGGGCGTCTCAGATGAGGATTCGCACATCATGGCCCGAGGCAGGTGCAAGGACCAGGGGGTCCACGGGGCGTGTTGAAGTAAGAAGAGGCGGCCATGAAATCCGGGGAGATATCATGGCTCTGGACATGATATCCCTCCCCTAGCCATCACCCCCTTCTTGGCCAACCCTGACTTCTGGTGAACGACGCCCCCAGCAGCCCAGGAGCGTGTGAAAGGTTCGCCAAGGTGCACCGTCGCGAATAGAAATGTCTTAAGAGCGTCCTGAGATCTCCAGAGAGCCCCAAGATGGCCCAAGACCCACGAGAGACCCAGGCCGCCACCAAGAAAGCCCAAATGGCGCGAAAAGAAAGCCAACACAGTGCCAAAGCGGCCTCAGTTCCCCTCTCTAGTCTTCCCCCAGCGGTGCCTCCAACAGCTCGGGTAACACGCAGATGACTGCACTGACGCCGTGCATTCCTCTAAACAGACGCCTCCAGAAGGCAGTGGGCGGCGATGATTCGCCGAAGGCGTCTTCGATGGAGATTCAGGAAAGCGCACAACTTCGGACGTCCGCGGACGGTTTCCTCCGCCGTCGCTGGAATCCATCCCCACAACCCCACCCCCTCTTGCGAGGAGGGGTCTGGCGCCAGCGAGGGGAGAAACCACCCGCGGAAGTCCGAAGTTTGATGCTGATGCGTTTCCAGCTTCCTGCAAGAGGCACGCGGCGGTATGTGAGCGTTTTTTTCTTTCGGCGTTTCGACACTGGGCGGAAAGGGGGGGTGGGAAGGGGGGGTTCTGGCTCCGGACCTCTGCTTAATGCGACTGGTTGGAACCGTGCGTCCTATGTGGGGGAGGCTCCACCTGCTCGAAACAGGCGCCCCAAACAGCCAAGATCTACTCCAAGGAGGGGGGGGGGGTAGGGAGGGTGCGAGGGCCCGCGCCGATCGGCAAATCAATGAATAAAAAACGATCACTGTCCAAACATGCCCTTCGAGCTGCTTCAGCCAGAGCCGGCGCGCTCCACATCCTCTCCGGGGAGGCCTCGGCGAGCTCGCTTGGCCCGCAGAGGAAAAGGAGCCCGTCCAGCTCCATCCGCTCGCAGATAGCGGCGACCTGCTTCACCAGCCTGTCGGTGGCCTTCGCGAGCGTGATGGTGGGAAGCAGGTCGCAGCCCCCTGGTCAGAGGGCAGAAGTAATGTTTTCTGGCGTTTGGTACAGACACCCTCTGCGACCCTGACGGAGTCCACAGGGTGCATGGCAGAGGCGATGCTTATGCACGTTTCGCCTTCGACACGCCCGACCCCGAGAGGGCCACGTGGAGAAGGTCAAAAGGCCCTGGCAAAACGCTTTCCCCCCTTCACCTCAACATCATCTCTTGTCCCTCCTACGTTCTCCCTCCACTCTCATCCTCATATTCCTCCTCTTGCTCATCCTGCTTCACTTACTAACCTTCCTCCCTCCTCCCTCCTCCCCAATCTCCTGGTATCCAAACTTTCCCCCTCCGCTGGAATGATGCAGGCCGTCAGTGGCGCAGCCATGTGGTTAACAGAGCGCGAGCACAAAGCGATTAACGAGGACGACAAATCGGAATATGTGGACAGGTCACCTGTCCATCTATCCTGCGGCCAGCAGCGCATTCTGGCAATCATCCCAAACATGAGGCATGCTATGATGACAAGAAGGCGTTTTGGTGGCCGCAGGATCTGGGGCGATGACGTCAAAGGAAGAGCCACCGGGACGAGTTGCCTGACGCGCTCCAATACTGTGCTGGCGAGGGCGCAGACACCAACCAATGCTGTTGGCTCCGAGGGTTCTGCCCGAAGGAACTTGGACACGTCCAACTCGGCTACAGCCAAAAAATGGTCACAAGAGCGTGGGTGAAGAACACAAGCCCTTTCGCCGAAGGCTCGAGACACCATGGAGATAGCCCTCAAAAAAAACACTCCAAGGGGAAGAGCCCAACACAAAGAACGTGAGGGTACCCCTCGAAAGCTAGGATTCCTCAAAACCCTCGTGCAAGCCGTGTAAGTTAAGCAGGAACACATATTCACCGAGAACGGGCCGACCACCATCAGCACGAATGCTGGTGGAAACAACCAGTCCACTAGCCCTCGTTATCGATGATGTGGATGGGGAAAAAGGGACAGAGATGTTAACCCGCGCGGTCGCCAGGTAGATGGCCCAGTCACCCAGTCTGTTTGGCTGTCCAGGAGTGGCAGTGTGAGCCTCTCCCTTCAATAGAAAAGGCACCGCCCCAAAGGGGGCTCTGACGAGAGCAAAGGGTGAGGCGGCGGCCAGGGCCATCTGGAAGCTGGTGGCGGGCCGGCTGGCGGCGGGTTCGCCAGGCGCGTAATCGTGCCGGTTGCTGCGCTCGTGGCGGCTGGGGCCCCCCCCTAGGTTTCGGGGTCGCCAGGCAGGCCCGCCAGTGCGCAGTCTCCCGATCGCGCGGGGCAGCCTGCAGGCTGCGCTGGGGGCTTAGGGCGAGACGGCGGCAGAAGCCTTAGAGCCTGTTCGACCAGGCGCCGCTGGCGTATTGGATCGAACGTCGCCTCCCCCCTTCCACGTTGTCCTCGTGGTCTCCCCTCGCCTCTCCTCCTCCTCTTCCTCCTCCTCCTCCTCCTCCTCCTCGACCTCCTCCTCCTCCTCCTCCTCCTCCTCCTCCTCCTCCTCCTCCTCCTCCTCCTCCTCCTCCTCCCCCTCCCCCTCCCCCTCCTCCTCCTCCTCCTCCTCCGCCTCCTCCTCCTCCGCCTCCTCCTCCCTCCTCCTCCTCCTCCTCCTCCTCCTCCTCCTCCTCCTCCTCCTCTTCCTCCTCCTCCTCCGCTCTTCCGGATGCACCCATCGTGGGCCCAGAATGGGTCTGGCTAGAAACCGAGCCGCCGGATGTCCAGGGGCCCGAGACGATCTGTCGACCGAGGGAGTAGTCCAGACCGTGTCTAGACGACATTCAGACAGGCTCTGCCCGCTTGCCTTTGAGTCCCCCGAGGCCCGGGGGAAGAGCGCGAGCCTGAGCGCGGCAGAGTGCTCTGCAGTCCAGGGGTTCTGGGCTCCGTCCAGAGAGGAGCGGTAGATACCCCGATCGGGCACTCTTGCCCCCTTGAGGTCGGCCGCCAGCGGCAGCAAGCTCCTCGGCGCCGCCGCCCCTCCTACCAGCTGCTGCGGCGACGCGGGCCCAGGAGGATGCCATCAAGATCGCCGCCCGGGCAGGCTCCGTGGAGGCCCTTCTGCTGGGGGCCGGAGTGCCAGCAGCGGGTGCCGCGGCGCTGCTGTCGGCTCAGGGCCAGGCCCACTCGACGGAGGCCGGCGCAGGTGCTTCGGGGATCTGCTGACCCAGGTCAATCCAGACCAGGGTCAGTCAGGCCTTGCAGAATGCTAGATCCTGCAAGATCCTGCGCCCAAGCTCGGGTCAATGCGACCCTGGCCCTGCAAGATCCTGCAAGATCGGGCGCCCTGGCTGACCCCCGTTTGCTTGACCCCCGTCTCTTGAGCCCCGAGTGCTGCTGCCGTGGCCGCTGCCGGCTGTGGCGCTGCCGCGGGCGACGGGGCGACCGCGGCCTCCTCCGCGACCTCGCCTGTGCCGCTCGCGGCGGAGTCGTCGCCCACTTCGGCGCGGAGCGGCGGGGCTACGGACACGTCGGGCGCCCCTCTGGCCCTGCAGGCCACGGCGGTGGCGTCAGCCACAGAGCCTGCGGCCAGCGGTCAGGCGTCATCGGCAGCTGCAGGCCTTGGCGGCGAGGGAGGGCACGGCCTGTCGCCGCAAAGGTCAATAGCCGCGGCCTCGCCACCCTCGCAGGTGGGGCCTGCGGCGACGCCAGCTCAGGAGGGCGCCATCAGGGCCGCTGCCAGGTCAGGCTCTGTGGAGGCCGTTCTGCTGGCGGCTGGGGTGTCGGCGGCGGGTGTCGCGGCGCTGCTGTCGGCCCATGGCCGCACGACAGACGTCGGCGCAGGTGTCGCTGCCATGGGCATTGCTGGCGCTGGCACTGTCGCTGACGATCCCGCCGCAGCGAATCTCACCTGGCCCGCCCACCGCGGACCCATCGACGAGCCCTCCCACATCCCCAGAAGGCGCCGCGGCCGCGGTCCTGCACCCACCCGCGGCACCTACCAGCGAGGCGGCGAGCGCTTCGGCAGCCTCGACGGCCTCGGCTGGGGACATCGTGGCAGCAGCAGCGGCCGCAACGGCAGGGAGCCCCACAGTTGCAGCAGCGCGCCCAGCCACACTGCCTGCCCAGCAGCTGGCTTCCTTCCAGCCGTCCGCCCGCCAGGCTGCAAGCCCGCTGGAGAGTGCCGCGGCCCCGCCCGCGGCGGCGCCGACTGCACCTGCGTCGACCCAGCGGGCACCATCGCTGGGCCACGACTCTCTCGCGCCTGCCGGCGGGCCACTGCGCAGCTCGACGGCCCTGGCGGCTGCCTCTGGAGCTCCTCGCTCGGCACCAGCGGCACCCGTCACTGGAGGGGACAGCGGTTCGCCTGGCCTGGCGAGCGCCTCGGCGGCTGCCCCGGGCGGAGCGCCTGGCTCGGCCGCGGCGGCGCCCGCCACAGTAGGGGCCAGCGCCTCGTCTGGTCTGGCTGCCTCGGGCGCAGCACCTGGCTCGGCCGCGGCGGCGCCCGCCACCGGAGGGGCCACCAGCTCATCGTCTGCTGCCAGCGCGCCTCCTACACGGGACAGGTTCGCCGAGTACAACGCCAGCGTGAGGCGGAGGGCATCGCAGCGCGAGGCGAGCAGGAGGGAGCGCCTGGCGGCACTAAACGTTGCCATCGATGCTTACCTGGCTGTGGTGGGCCTGGCGAGAGCAGCCCAGGCGCCTCCAGCCAATGACGCGCAGTTCGTGGACAATCACAGCTCGACGTCAGCCTGGGACGGGCTGGAGGACACGCAGTGTGTGATCTGTTGCGAAGACCTTGCTGAAGGCGACCCTGTTCGTAGATGGCCCTGTGGCCATGTCTACCATCAAGACTGCATCGACCTCTGGCTCCGGCGTAGTCGTCTCTGTTGCCTCTGCAAGCGGCCAATTGACCAGGCATAAATTCTGATCTACGCTTCTTGCCTCGATGCGAGTCAGTCCTTCTCCTCCTCCTCCTCCTCCTCCTCCTCCTCCTCCTCCTCCTCCTCCTCCTCCTCCTCCTCCTCCTCCCCCCGCCTGCGATTTTGATTCAACCGCTTCGCACATTCCGCCAGCCAAAATTAATATTGCGTCATTATGTCAATTTGCCTGTGTGTTCGTGGGCAGTGAGAAGTTGCTGGTTGTTGGTGGTTTCTCCAAGTTGTGGTATGAAGCTCGCGAGGGGAGAAATAGTCGCTTGGTAAATGGACCGCGACAAGCAGCGGAATACGTTCCCACCCAAGTTTCGTGCATACGCCCTCCTCCTTCTCCTCCTCCTCCTCCTCCTCCTCCTCCTCCTCCCCCCTCCCTCCCTCGTTGCCCTCCTTGGGTGGCCACCTTGATTCAGGTAATGCTGGCAGTCCGAGCTTACGATCTCGAACTCGTTCCCCTTGGCCAGGCTGCGGATACCCCACCTCAGGAGGAGGGGGTGGAGGAGGAAGAGGGGCCGACGAGGCGGAAAAGGACGAGGGACCCGAGAGGACGAGAAGGGGGAGGGACAGAGGAGGGGGGTAGTGAGAGAGGGGGAAAGAGCGTTGAAAAGCAACGCGCGCACGCATCCCACCCCCCCGATGGGAGTGTTGGGGGTGGGAGGCGTTGGTGCTCGTGCATCAGCCCCCGCACCTTGCCTCGGCTGCGCCCGAGAGTGAGCTCCCGTGTCGCCTCCACACTCCGCAGCCCCCAAGGAATGGCGAGGTCCCGCTTGGATCTGCGTGGAACCCCACTGTGCTGCCCCCCCCCAGCAACCCTGAAAAGTGGCGACGTTTTTACACTTCGCAGCCCACCCCCCCCAGGGATGGCGAGGTCCCGCTTGGATCTTCGTGGGACCCCACCGTGCTGCCCTCCCAGCAGCCCTCAAAAAGGGTGACAGTTTCACACCTCGCAGCCCCCCAGGGATGGCGAGGTCCCGTTTGGATCTGCGTGTGGCCCCACTATGCTGGCTCCCCCATTTCGCTGGCTCCCCCAACAGCCCACGAAAGTGAGGACAGGTTCACACTTCGCAGCCCCCCAGGGATGGCGAGGTCCTGTTTGGATCTGCGTGTGGCCCCACTGTGCTGGCTCCCCCAGCAGCCCTCGAAAGCGGCGACGCATTCACACTTCGCAGCCCCCCAGGGATGGCGAGGTCCCGTTTGGATCTGCGTGGGGCCCCACTGTTCTGCCCCGCCCGGCAGCCCTCGAAAGTGGCGACAGTTTCACACTTCGCGGTCCCCAAGAGGGATGCGAGAGAAGAGAGCCGAGAGGAGAGCGGGGGAGGAGGAGGAGGAGGAGGAGGAGGAGGAGGAGGAGGAGGAGGAGGAGGAGGAGGAGGAGGAGGTTGAGACCCCACTGCTCTAGATTCAAGATGAGAACCCAATTCAGGGAGGGTTGGGAACAAAGGTAACCACACGTGAACTCGAAGATCACCAGGAAAAACAATATCGCACGTTATCTGTCCCAGGGCGTGTGGACATCACGCAAGCTCAAGCTCCAATGGCACCCGAAACACATCTACGGAAGATTGAAGATGTACTGCCGCGGTGTTCAATCTGGCACGTGCTCCAGGCATCCCCGAGCGGGCCCCGACCCTGCCGAGCCCCCCACAGCTCGGAGCCGGCCAGCCCGCCCTTGTCCAGGAAGGCCCGCAGCCCGAGGATGACGTTGTGGGTGCCCGAGGCCGCCACCGCGTTGGACACGCTGGCCACCGCTACCTTCGGGAATGGACAGACCCCCCTTTAGTAAAACGTGGTTTAGTGAAATCGACCTGAGGCCCAAACCTGGCGGGCGCAAGCCTGGAAAATAACGGCCAAGGCGCCATCTCGAGAACCGAAAACGGACAATTCACTAATCGACATGTCACTGTTGGGGGTTCTGTCCACCCCCGATACCTCCGGGCCCCCTCCCGAGCCATGGTCGGCTTCCGAACCCACCCGGCCGCTGCAGCGGGCGGCCGAGCGGGCCCGATCCCTGCCAGGCAGCGCTCCACGGGACCCGCTCGGCCGGCTCGGCCCTGGCGGGTTCCGCTCGGCGGCCGCAGCGGCTCAAGCGCCGACTGGGCTCTGATAGGCAGAGTGATCTCGCCACGTGATGCGAAGTCCCCTCCCCTCCCCTCCTCTCCCCTCCCCTTTCCTCCTCCTCCTCCTCCTCCTCCTCCTCCTCCTCCTCCTCCTCCTCCTCCTCCTCCTCCTCCTCACCCCCGCCTCCTCCACCTTAGCTTCGCCTCACGTGGCGAATCCCACTTGTCGATCTGCGGGGGGGGGCCCCCCGGGGGCCCGGGCACCCGCAGGCGCTCCGGGGCCGCAGTGGCGCCAGCGTCCGCCTCCGCCTGCGGCACCGCCAGCAAGGGCTTCAGCCCCTCGATGGAGCCGAGGGTGCCGTCGGCCAGGGCGCCGTGGGAGCCCCTGGGCGGCTCGGCCTCGGGCCCGGCGGCCTCCTGCAGCTGCACGCGGGCGGCCTCCAGGGGCCCCGGGAGCTGCGGCACCGCGCCAGCCCGCAGCTCCTCGAGGAGGCTGCGGCGGGAGGAGTCGCGGATGAGGCGCTCGCCGCCTGGGCCCGGGGGCGTCATCTGCCGCGCGAACGAGAGGCGGCCGGCGTCCCCGGTCCTGGCGGGCTCCGTGAGCTGGCGCGTCATCTCGCCACCGTCCGTCCGCGCCCTCGCGAAGAGCATCGCCCGAGCCCGCCGCGGCGCGGCGGCTGCGCCGCCCCTCCCGCTGCGGGCGGCCCCGTGGACGGAGGCCGCGGCGAGAGTTCGCGGGTGACCATCACCCCCGGGAGAGGGCGCGTGGCTGGCTGGCGCTGGCGCGGGGGCGGCAGGCGAGCGCGAGGGAGAGCGCGCGCGCGCGGGTGGGGGGGACTCCTCCGCCTCCTCTTCTTCCGCCGCCTCCTCCTCCTCCTCCTCCTCCTCCTCCTCCTCCACCTCCTCCGCTTCCTCCTGCTCCCCCTCGTCCTCCTCCATTCCATTTCCATATAAAAATTTATCCCTGTCGCACCCCGGGGCCAGTTTTTAGGGCGGTCCGGGCGTTTCGCCTAAGACTTCATCACCACTTCTGACTCTGAAGCTGAAAGATTGGCAACAGTTTCACCGATGGAGGGCGGGTCGTTTTCAAAATGTGGCTCTCGCCTTAGCTCGGCGCACATTCGTTTTAACAAGCAGCAAGAGCTTCACGGATTGAGAGCGGTTCCTTTTTTAAATGTGTCTCTCGCCTTAGCGCGGCGCGCAATCGTTTTCAACATGTGCCAGAACTTCACGGATAGAGAGCGGTTCCTTTTCAAAATGTGGCTCTCGCCTTAGCGCGGTTCACATTCGTTTCAACAATTTGCAAGAGCTTCACGGATTGAGGGCGACTCCTTTTCAAAATGCGGCTCTCGCCTTAGCGCGGCGCACATCCGTTTTGAAAACTTGCAAGAGCTTCACGGATTGAGGGCGGTTCCTTTTCAAAATGTGGCTCTCGCCTTGGCGCGGCGCACAATCGTTCTCAACATTTGCAGGAGCTTCACGGATTGAGGGCGGGTCGTTTTCAAAATGTGGCTCTCGCCTGAGCGCCGCGTACACTCGTTTCAAAAACATGCAAGAATGTCACGGATTCCGATCATCAACGTACCAGAAAGTATTTTGGACGGAATGGGCTTTCTGGCACGATTCAGGATCGTCAAGAAACCCGAGAGCAATGTTTGGGCATGCTTCAGGGTCTCCAAACGGGTGCCTTCCAACGAGGAAGTTCCATCAATGGAAATGAACCGTTGTAGGGGCCTATGAAGAGGGAGCCTGGAGGGAGGGTTTATTTCAACATCGTTGAAGACTCTTGGGTTTACAGTGGTCCTCCTCCTCCTCCTCCTCCTCCTCCTCGTACTCCGCCCCCTCCTTCCCATCATCATCAGCATCATCATCATCATCAGCAGCATCATCATCAGCATCATCATCATCACCTTAATCATCAATATCATCAACAACATCATCATCAACAACGCCAACATCAGCATCATCATCAGCAGCGGCATCAGCATCATCATATCATCATGATAATCAAGAACAACATCAGCATCATCAGCAACATCATCATCAGCAGTAGCATCATCGTCATCATAATCGTTATCTTAATCATGATCATCTGCATGTTCATCACCAGCAGCATCAGCATCATCATCAACATCATCATCACCATGCGCACCATCATCATCAGCATCATCATCATCGTCATCATCATCATCAGTAGGCTCCTCCTGCTTCTTCTGCTCCTCCCCCTCTGTTAATCTCCTTATAGATCTGCATTAAGCCAGGGTAGATCCACACGGACGGAAATCTGATCCACACTAACGTACATCGGAACCTGCATTGGACCCGCACGTCCTGAACACAAATCCGCTTCACATCCACTCAAACGTTTGGCAACCACCAATAACCATGTGTCTTCCAAAGCAACACAACTCTTGTCCTGGGGACGCATCAACCTATTTGAGCATCCCGGGCCAAGACGGCTCGCTTTACAATGATGCACACATTGGAAGGGATCTCCCAAGCTTTCGTCAGGCCTGCGCAGTGCCCATAAGATTAAGAACGCAGCTGAGCACAGGAGGGCGTGCGGTCAGCTACAGAGCTCGGACACGCAGAAGCCAGGCGAAGAACACCACAAGACTCCACAAAACGGTCCCAGGACCACCCTCGGATCAGCCCCAGAACCCTGCCGCACTGGACCCAAGACAACCGCAGACGGCCCCAAAACCTCCCAAGTGGTCCCCCGAAAGACACGAGAGACTCCGACGAGGCCCCCCTCAAGAGGCATCGCGACCAGCACGCAACGCCAGCGACATGCCACGCTACAGCGTCCCCACGCAACTTCCCCGGGCGCGGTGGCGGATACGTGCGGCAGCAGAGCTGGACAGAAACGGCAAGAGACAGGAAGGTGAGTCCTGCGTTTCGCATCCAGCATCCGCACAGCGCAGACGATCTGTAGCGCTGCAGCTGCGCGGCCTTCCGCCAACACGGCGTCGTCGGCAGAGCTCGGGCACTGTACATCAGGCGAGCACCTGCCTACGAAGAACTGGGAATCGCAGGGCTGTGAGGTCGCCTCTCTGCGATCCACGAGTGGGACGGACGACGAGGGCACAAGGAGACGGTTCCTGAAGAGACGAGACACAGTGGCTCTGAGTTCGGTGGAGTCGACCACGCGCACGCGCACGCACGCGCACGCATGCACACACCAGAATCCGTACACGTTTACTCCCCATGCTGCATGCATGCAGACGCGTGCAGGAGCAGTTGCACGCTCATAGCGTGGTCGGACAGGCAGGCAGGCGAGCAGGAACGCCGTTTAACGCGTGTGATAGGTGTAAAGGGGAGGCAACGACACCGTACGATACAGTGCAGCTTGGTGGAATGCAGGACAAAACAGCACGGCACGGCATATAAGGGATGATATCGAGCCAGGTCGCGTCACGTCACATGAGATTAGGGTTCGGCATAACTTCCAGATGAAAGTCGGCAGGGTAAGGTCAGCACTGTGTCAGGATCAAGGTCAGGGTCAAGGTCAGGGTCGGGGTAAGGGCCAGGGTGAGTTAGGATGAGGTTGAAAACGAGGCTTGGTGTGAGAGCTTGGGAGGGTAGGGTCGCATTCGGCAGATTAAGCAAGGCTGGGCTGGCTAGATTGGCACAATAGGGGCAATTCAGGTTGGATGAATTCAGGTCAAGCTTCATGAAATTTGTGATGCCCTCCTGCTCTCCGCTGACCCGCCCCGGCTTATCTGCGGCTCGCGCACAATTTATCGCGCCTGGCTGGCATTCTCCGCTATATGAAATGGCCACGTTAAGTTAGACCCGCCCAGGCTCGGACCAAAAAAAGCTTGGCGTGCCTGGCATGCTGTGGCCTAGTTGAGGTTGGTCAGGCTTGCTTTGGCTTGGCCCAGCGTGGCCTGGCTCGATTTGGCTTCGCTTGGCTTGACCTCGTCCAGTTTGACTCGGATCGATTCGGTTTTCTAGGGGGGGCGGCGACTTGGGATTAGGATTTGGGGTCGCGTTCGGCTTCGAGAGTGGACTTGGATTTGTGGGTTTAAATTGGAGGTGGGGTCGGGTGTCGGCTGATTGAGAAAGAAGTGGGAGGAGAGGAGGGAAGGAGGAATGAGCATCAGGAGACAATTCTGGAAGGGCGGCGTGGGCGCAGCAGATGGAAAATTGACACAAACCGCTTTGCACGATTCGTATTGACAACGGCCACGTGCATGGTCTCATGAGTCAGGGGCACCTTGACAGGACGGCGCCGTTCACTCCAGTCCTGCTGGCTGTTGCATGCAATTGTAACTGATGGCCCCAGCTAAATAAGTGCCGCTCACCTGGTCGCCCTTCCTCTCTCTCCCTCTCACCATATATGGTTTCTTTCTTTGTGTTGTTTTATATCTCTCTCTCTATATACATATATGGCTCTCTCTCTCATTATCTCTTTGAGTGTTATCTGTTTCTCTCTTTGAACGTTACCTGTCTCTCTCCCTCTCTTTCTGCCTCTCGCTCTGTTTCTCTCTCTCTCTCTCTCTCTCTCTCTCTCTCTCTATATATATCCCGCTCTCTCTCTCTCTCTATTTCTCTATCCCTCTCTCTCTCTATCTATCTCTCTCGCTCTCTGTCTCTCTCTCTCTCTCTGTCTCTCTCTCTCTCTCTCTGTCTTTCTCTCTCTCTCTCTCTGTCTCTATCTCTGTCTCTCTCTCTCTGTTGTTCATTATCTCACGCCCGCTATATATAATGAGCACGTACATATAAATATCTATAACTATATTATATATACATGTATACATGTATACAAATACACATGTACACACATACACATATGTATACAGACGTGTACACACATAGAGAAATAAATGTATACAAGGTTGCATTGGCGCTTCGCGCGATGCAACTTGGTCCTTGTTTGGCAAGCGGAATGGCAGGAAGGTCAAACAGACAATTTAGCGATTACTCCTTGTTGCTTTTTCGGGCATCCCCGTTATAACACTTTGATTCGTTATCCTTCCTCCATGTTTATTTTTCCTCATTCTCGCCCTCCCCTGCGAATTCATCCCCATCCTCCTCAGCTCTTTTTGCGGGGGCTCCTCCTTGGAGAGCCTCTGGGGCCCGCAGGGAAGTTGTTCAAGCTTTCTTGAAGCCTCCTGGAGGCTTGGGCGTCTTCTGGGGGCCTCTGGGGGCTTCCTCGGGCCACCATGCCTCCAATCGCGGTATCCCTGAACGACCGGGCCACGATTTCGAGTGCTTCGGAGAGTGTCTTGGGGCCATCTTGGGCCGTCATGGGGCTTTCTTAGGCAATCTTGGAACCCTGTGGTGCCGTCTTGGGGCTCTCTTGGACTGCCTGGCAGCCCTTTCGGATGGTTTTGGGGCTAGTTTCGAACCTCCCAGGCAGTCTCGGACGCCCAGAAGACCGAAGAACTGAGCATTTCCAAAATCATGATGAATCTTTGAAACTCAATGCTTTTCTGCATTTTGGAAACCTAATGGGAGTTTTCTTTGGCTCGTCTTCGGGCGTCTGGTGGGTGTCTGGGGCCTCTTGGGGCCCTCAGGGGGGCGTTCGGCCGCCCTCCTGACCA